TTTAAGTTCAAAATTTGAAAATAAGTTAATATATAGGTTTAAAAGGATCTTTAGCTTAAAGTTTATAGTAAATTTATATGTTTTTATTATAATTTTATTATAATTTATCATTCAGTGTGACATCCCTGACTGATATAGAGATCTTTTGATAGTAATGAATTCGATACAAAGCTCACAATAAAGATTATTAAAGGTTTGCGATCAAAATTTGCTAAAATAACTTCAAAATATTAGGTTAGCTGAATGATGTATAATCCCAGATCCACTACCACGAATAAAATTAGTTGAAAGCTTTATTATATATGAGAATATATTCATTATATTGTTTAAACCTTATAAGATTTGTAGAGGAATTTTTAGCTTTAATTGACCTTTCAGAATCAAATAAGAGAATATCTATTCAATGTATACTAGCAAACTCATTAACACTAAAAAAGAGATAAATAAAGATATACTATTTAAATATAAATTATATTAATGATTTATGAATTCACTTTTAGCAATTTTAAACAATGTTCTGATATTGTTAACGTACAAAATTATCCATAGATTCTTTTGCTAAAGTTGATAATGAAAATATGTTTCTCTATTCAATTAAGATTTATAAGAAAAATTGCACAAAAGTGTATGTGTAATTTTTTAGAAAATAGATTAGCTATTGAAATTGGTTGCTCCAAATTAATAAATTCAAACTTATTAATTTTAGCGTCTTGGACATTAACAGCTTTATAATTTAGAATACTATTAATTCGATCAAGACTGCTTTTATTAAAAAGATTATCATTTTATGCAATTACGATTGGAACCAGAGAATTTAAATGACTATCATCCGCCGACGTTTTTTTGATATGATTTTCATGTAACCATAAGGTTTTTAGTCATATATAATATGGTTATATTTTATTATATTAAAAGGTAATCAACTTTCATTATGACCCGCGTTAACCATCAGGGCTAAACTGTGCATGTATGTATTTGCACTTTCAACCCAGATAGAAACAACAGCGATCTCAAGTTTGTGAAACACAAGATGATCAAGACCTAGAAGCTCTTCTGTCAATCCATAATCCGACAGAATAACATCTATTGAATGTGTTTAATGGAATTTGTCAGCAATTTAAAATTTTAAAGATAAAAAATTGAAATCTAGTATACATACTATCATCTATATACTGAGGCTTTGCATGTAATTGCGCTTGTACAATTGCACCTTTTACTTTCGAGAAATCCTTTTCATTTATTCCTAAGCGTAGTTTAAGACGTAATATTGTCGTATAGAAGGGCTCATCCTAATTGTATAAAATATAAAAATAATAACAAGTATAAATACAAGCAATCAAATGAAAATGAAATTTAAAAATACTAACAGTTTTAATAACAAATTTGAATGGAATTCTATATGTGTGTAATGGTCTCTTAATAAAATGATACACTTGAATAACTTTATCATTGGTGTCTAGATTGATTTCTTCTTGTGGTATTTCCTGAATATGAAATAAGTTATTTTCCAAAATAAAGAATATCTAAAAGTCACGAGATGAATGAAAGAACAACCTCCGCATATAACGTCGTATTTTCCTGTATCATATTTATTGGATCGTTAATATCATATTCTTTTTGAATTTTGCAATGTAAGGCATCATATAATCTAATTCTACTAGTAGGTCTTAATGCTAGTTTGTTTATAATTATTTTAATAATTTCATTAACCATAGCAGTTTTTGGAAGACTAATATCAATCACTTCCTTTAATAATAAAAAATATTTATTAATAATTGGCTAATACACAAATCAAGTTTTATAATACTCATTTACCTCTTCCTTGACAATTGTTCCAAGCCAGTGCACCTTAAAGAATTTCTTTGATTCTAATTCCACAATATTAATGTCAAGCATCTCATAATATAAAAGTTCTACTGATCTAGGTTGATGGGTTGTTTGAAGCATCTCTGACAGTATTTGTGTAGTTGTCCTTTCAATTACAGTTTTCTTTGCCGTTGTAAATCGTAACTTCAAAGGATCTGTGCTTAGATGAGCAGCAACGTATTTGGCGACCTATAGAAATATAAAGATGTGAAAACAGATGTCTATTAAATAAATTTTTAAAATCATAGTATTATGGTAAATATGATATTTTTGTGAATCCTGTATGAATAAAAACTCGATAAACATCATAATTTACTATAATACCTCTTCACTTTACCATTCGTAATAATGTATAAATGCAAAGAAAAATAATTTTAACATACATCATCATATGTGTATTTCTTATTTAAAACTAATTCAAATTCAGGATATTGTTCTTGGTTTTTATATTTCGGTTTAAATTGAATAATGATACGCATATATAATGACTCGTAAAATGTAGGAATATCATGAATACGACCCGCAGCAGTATGTTCTTGTGTTCTAAATAAAAACAGCAAGTTAGCTTATAAAAATGAGTTTATAAAACAAGAATAAGAATAAGATAATAAATAATCTACTCTTTTTCATTTAAAGCCTTTTGGAAGCAAATTATATCACCATCTTGTATACCAAGTTGTTGAAAAGTCTGCGTAGGGTTCATCTCTTGAATCATATTTTGTTTTATTTCCTATGTTTTTTAAATAAATAAATATACATGTCGTTACAATTAATAGAAATATATATGTAAATATATCTTACTTCGTATATTTTCAAGGATGTATGTGGTGGAAATTTCTTCTTCTCGCAAAGAATTGGAATAATATCACCAACTTCACCAGATTTATGAACATATAAATGACAGAGTCCTCTGTTTACATAAGCGTAAAGATTAATACTCGTATAAAATTAGTTAATAGAATAAATTTAAAACCACATACTCCAAACATTGTGTATCGGGGTTAAAATACTTAATGAAAACCAATGTATGGAAACCATTTTCTATCGGCGGGAACCATAACTACGTATCAATTAAACAACAATTAAATAGTGAGCAAGAAAGCATGTTTAAAATATATAATATATTGTTAAATACTAAGTATTACTTTGCCGTTAATCGGTTTTACCACTTCCAAAAATAATTTCAATTCATTTGGCCTTGCTGCTACTTTTGTGTGAACTTGTTCCATTGCTATTCATCCATCACAAAAGTTAATACAAAGCTTATTACTAAGTGAAAAAAAATGAATAACGTACTTACTCATGTCAAGAAAATCGTCTGTTAATAGAGTTTCTGGCCTAACAGTCTGATTCTGGCGATTTAAAAGGACCCATAACCTTATTTGTTCAGTTTTATGTCCAAAGTGTTTAGCGGCCCAAGCTTTGATATTCTTATATTTTTCATTTTTCAAAATTTTATAATGTGGAATTTTAGATAGCGGATATTGTTTATTGCCGAAATTAGCAAGATCAAATCCTTGATAACTCTCAAAGGAAGCTAGGGTAACAATCTAATAGTAAAAATTGAGGGTAAAGCTTAAATTGCTATGAATAACATAAATTTACTATTGATTCACATAATGTCGCCACCTAATTACCTTAATATACAAATATAAATGACGTTTTTCAGCTTTTTTTTTTTTATGTTCACATAAAGCTTTCTCTTTATCTAAGCGACTTTCTATTTACATGTGTGCGTGAAACATAAATTTACAGCACAGTTTCAAATTATGTCTCATAAATAAGATCACTCACTTAGATGATTTGGTATCTCCTTAGCAAATATGGGAGATAGCACAAAATCGATATCGGATTCACGGATATATATCAACATGTATGCATTTTTAGAACCGATAGCATTGGGAACTTCAGCACCATAATTTTTTTCAAGCACTTCTTTATCAGTGACAGGTATAATTATATTATCATCAAACTTGAACCTTTTATGATAATTAATGTTAGTTATCTGATATATTATTACGATCTAAATTAATTTATTGTTAAAATTCAAACCATTTGCCATTCTTTTCTGGCTTTATAAAAACATAATAACTGCCTCTATGTAAATCACCACTGTGAACAATTACTCTAAATATAATAAAGTTATTAATATGTGTTGAAAAGTCATAAATATTTAGAATATTGATGTCACTATTACAAACCCATAAAGTAAATAATTATGCGGTTTTGACCTATCACTATCTGATGATAAATATCTTTCTAAATCAATTTCCAGAGGATATT